ACGCTTTTTTCATCACATTCAAAATCATCTTCAGTCATTCCAGGCAGCATCGAATCAGCATGGGCTCAGAACAGCAAACAGCCATTCACCTATGCAGCTCTGGTTGCTGCACAGAAAGGAGGGACAAGATTTGTCACAGGTACAGTACATGGATATTTGATCAGTATTAGTTCTTGTATGTAAAAATCTATCTATAGTTGAGATGAGTTTACTTCTACTGTGCCAATTGGTGTACCAAAATGTTTCCACTTACGAGAGAAAAATTTTGTCTGCAAAGCCATTCTCTCATTTTATCCTATCTACCAGGTCATTTACCATTATTGTCACATGAGAACACTGTGCATAGATGGCAATAGTTTGGGGCCAGCTGCAGGAAACACTTCTTCAGCTTATGTTTAAGTGAAGTGAAAGTGATTAATGAAAGTAAGACATTTGGATGCTCTTTCAGGTTGATGAGGATTACGGTGTGGACTGGACAGGACCATATAATCACCGCCCATCAAATGAGATCACCATTCCTGAGATTCAGCTCCCATGTACACTGAATGAATGAGAGCTTGCTGTACTACCAAACACCAACGTTTCATTCAGTCAAGCTTTGGATGTGTACTGTCAAACTGTTCACTCACTCAAACGTATGTTTGAGACCACACCTTAACTCTTCAAAGTAAGCAGATGCAATATGTTTACACCCTTTTATTCTGTTTTTACATCTATGGCTCGAGTGCAGACAGGAGCCTTAGTAGCTAATACTGCCTCAAAACAGCATCACCAAGTTCATTGTCAACAAAGGAAAACAGAGAATAACTATAAAAAAGCATTTGTTTTAAACAGCTGTCAATTTAATGATACTAATTTCTTGGTTAGATGTACAGTACATGTCAACTCTGAACAGATTTAATAGCATGCACACAGTACAGTAACATCTGACAGTTCTTTTTCCTTTTCTGAACTTTTTTTTGTCAATTTATATTAAAAAAGCCTGATCAACTACTGTGTATTTTTCAGTCAGATGTATTAAAAGGAACTAGAACTCACTGGATTGTCTGTGTCTTTTCACATTGAATACAGTAATGCACACAACAACAGTAATGTGCTGCAAAAAAGAACAAATTGTGTAACCTTACCATGTGTCATGGAGCGTGGTAGGCGGACGAGCAGGAAGGCGAGAGGAGCCGGTCAGACGGGCAAACAGGGTTTAATAGGGGTAAACAGGATGGACAATCACAGACAGGGCAACACCACGCTACTAACATCAATGACAGATCTGATGGGACTGAACTCGGACGCGGACTAAGTACACAAGACAGGCTGGGATTAACTAGAAACAGCTGGGAGCAATCAGGAGTCAACATGAGGTAATGAGGGGGCGTGGCACACACGAGGATCGTTCGGAGCTGAGTGTGACACCATGTGGTTATGGAATCAGTACAAAACATAAAATCAACCAGACCAAACCCTGATTCAGTATAGTTGAGACACACCTGAATGCCCATCAGAAATGACTCATAGTTACAATAGTGCGCAGGAAGACGCAGCACTTCAAAACAGGTGGAAGACTTTGGAAGACTGCTGTTAACCACTTCCACAGTCATTTCTCTCGGCAGGACTTCCCATCCTGTCCAAAACTTGAGGAGGGCTTTTCATTCTGCACAAGATGCTGCAACAAAACACTGTTTTTAACTATAATGACATCCTATATTTATTTTGACTAGGAAATATTATAAAAGATGACCGCTTACATACAGGCCATCAGACATATTGCATGAATAACACATATAATTAGGGCAGCCGTGGTCTAATGGTTAGGAAAGCAGGCTAGTGACAGAAGGGTTGTCAATTCGAATCCCAGATCAGATGGGGCTGGCTGAAGTGCCCTTGGGCAAGGCACCTAAAACCAAGATTGCCCCCCCGGGCACACCTACCGTGTGCTGCCCACTGCTCCTGCTACCGGTGCTAGTTCACTGGTTTGAGGTGATGGGTTAAATAATTTCACTCACTTCACAGTGTGTGTGACAAATAATCACTTTCACTTCACTGTTCACGAGGCAGTATGGAGCAAATAATGAAACAAAATTATACTAACATGTA